TGAATCTGAGAGACGATGAAAAATAAAGACTGAACAACACCTACAATGAAGCCCCACAGTGTTTATCATATCAGTAAATGATGCTCAGTGATCCATGTTCTAGATGATTTTCACACTTCTACATCTAGGTTAAGTTAACTGAAATAAAAGCCCCCCCCCCAACAGAAGAGAGGAACTGCCTCCTCCTCCTCCTCCTCCTCCTCCTCTTCCTCTTCCTGCTGCTTCCTACACAAATCAATAAACAGCCATTGGGCTGTCTGCCATTGACAGACTTTTGTCTCATCCTGCTGCCAGCTAAAGCCTAGTGCTAATGGTGCTTTTTGCAATCATGCACTATATCGATGCTTTTATTTCATCTGCTGCATGCTCAATTATTATTACACTCATTCTGCTGCAGAGTTCAAATATATGATTATCTGTGTCGAGAAGATTTCATGTTCGGGAGGCCAGTGGCACTGTTATTAAGAAGAGGTTTGGGAAAAGGAGGCAGATTTTTTGAAGGCCTGTAGATTATACAGGTAAAAGTTATATATAGAACTATAGAACAGCAGCTGCAACATCTCAACAATTGAGATGAATGTAATCAAATATACATATTGTTTGACATTTATACTAAAAAAACACTAATCAATAAAGGGAATGATTGAGTTACCTGTAATTTACACACAGAAAAATATTCTCAGTCAATTTCTACTAAAATTTGAGCTATTATTTTATTTCTACTGCACCAAAAAATTGAAGACTGACAACAGCAGTGGTCGGCACCACCAGATCATTTTGATAATTTGACTATTTTTATTTCCCCATATTTGACTGAGACACAGATGCAGACAGGTGCTGAGCTCCATCATGGCATCACATTAATAGAATCACCTCCTGTTTGGCAATTTGTAGTCAAAGTAAAAGCACAATGTTTGTTTTATTGCTGCAGTGCTTTACTTTTAGATGAATTACAGACCTTTAATTTTGAAATGTTGTGAAATTGGGTCTGAAGATTGTGTCGATTGCTTAACAGACCTCTAAAATACCAACGTAAAAAATACAACACCAGTAAAGTAAATCCTTCACACATATGTGTAGTATATAGAAACCACACACATGAACATTAATAAAGCAAATTCAGTTTGATTCTATGAAAAAAATTCATTATAAAATCACTGCAGATAAACCAGGTTGGATGAAAGCAAAGTTTTCTAACTTCACTCTGCATCAATTAGTATTTATAAAAAGCTTTGCACTTAACATCCAGCCCACAACAATATAAAGTAGCTCGGAGCATTACCACAGGCCAAGAAAACAGGGATGTTTAGAATGGGCACTGCACTAGCATGTAAAAATGGAATAGTTTAACCAAGGAGGGACTAATTGTAGGGTAAAGACTGGACTGGGAATGTTAATTTGTATTTCTGATTGTAATCAGAAATGACTGGTGTTCTTTTGTCCTTGAAGGTGGATGAGAATGGCCTACTTTACCCAAACTCTTTAAATAGAAAGTGGGAAGCAGCCAGTAGCAGCTATTTCTGGACACACTCACCCAGTTTGGTCAAAAGTGGGCGAGTGCTGGCCTCGCCACGATCGTTTCACAGCAGTGAGGGTTCCTTACTCAGAGTCGGTTGTCAGTTTCAATCCTGTGGTTTTGGAAAGTGGCAGGGACGTTGTCACATGGCCGAGGAAACAGAAGACACAAACCATAAGTTATTTCAGAGTTGATATATCAGTTTGGGCTTGGAGAATGATTCGACAGAATAAAAGTATTACTTGTGACAAAAATGCTTTCCAGTGGCATCATGGGAATTGTGGGATATGCTCAACCCACACTAAAAGTGAGGATGTCTTTGCCTCTGGAGCTTTGATTTTGACCATTCTTTTTCTAATATGTCCTTTTTTTCCCAACTTTATTCCGTCCAAAGGACTAAAAGGATTTATTTAATATTACATATTTGGTAAAGCTCAAATTCTGTGTCACATTATTTTGACTGACCAGAAACAGGAGACATGAACACAAAAGTTCCTTGGAGCTCTGGATATTCAGGAGGCTCAGAAGATTTTTAAATGAATCAAGAACTTTTCAACACTTTAACACCAGTAGTTTGCTAACTTTGACATGAATGCTCTCATTTAAAGACATAAAATCATATTTTTTATCATCATTACATTTTGTAGTGTTTAGATGGATACTGAAGAAACTGCATCAAATGTTTGCTCATGTTTTCATGTGTGTATATTTGTATTTTTTTCAGACCTGTCTAAGAACCGTCTCTGTGAGTTGCCGGAGGAGCTCTGTCAGTTCATCTCTCTGGAGACACTGAGCCTTTACCACAATGGGATGCGTTCACTGTCCTCCAGCCTGGGCAACCTCCAGGCTCTGACCTACCTCAACCTCAGGTAACTTTGCACCATGCACAAGTTGGTGTTGCTGATCTACTCATTTTACAGAAGGGCACATTGACAGGATGTGATCTGTCATTTGGAGTCTAGATAGAACAATATTTTCTTCCAATGCTTCTGTTTACTTTACTTTAGCAGGACATTACAGAACAGTGAGTAAAATAAGGGTAGCTGTCAAACCAAGAGAACTTATTTGCAGGTTAGTTATACTCTGATCAAAGTGGTGACCAATCAGTCCAGGATTTCCCTCCAGGAGTTGCTCATGTGGGTTGTGTCAGAGGGTTAGGGTAAATCTAGTTTAAATGTTGAACCAGGATGTTGACTTGTATGTTTGTCACAATACCACAATTTTAAATGTTGATACAATACTTCCTCCTCTGGTCGACACTGATTTGTAAAACGTGAAACAAATCAGCTTGTTGGAATATTTCACCTTGACTTAAGAAGCTGCCCAGGTGGCAAAGTATCACCAAACAGCACTTAGACCTTTCTCCTTTTCTATAATATTTGGTACTTCTTCTGGAGTCGCCATAGTGGTTATCTTTACTCTACTTTACTACAGTCACGTGATTGGTTCAACTCTTGGGGATGAGGATATTTTCCCATGTTGTTTTTTTTTAAAGCAGCCTTTGGTTGAAAATGTGAGGAACTGCTTCGGTGCTTTCAGTACTATCGAAAGTGAAATGTAGGGAGATTGTATTGTTTTGTACACTTGGTATAAAAAAGTATCAATCCCAACTGGTTAGTGTAACTGAAACTAATAAAACTTCTAACTGTAAAAAACATTGTAAAGTTGTACTTGAACACACTGCAAAGATGGCTACATGTAGCAGGTATTGCATTTCTGACACACAGCTGTTGTTGGAACACACATTTTAACTGAAGTGTTTGTTTATGCTGGGAATTAAAGGGGCTTCACAAATCCTGCCCGGACCCTTCTACAATAACTCAATGACTCAGACACCCCCTCTGATCGACTGTATAATTTCACTGTTGCTAGGAAACCAGAAAGAACCTACAGGTGGCTTGTAATACAGGCGCCAAGTGTAGGCTGGAGGCAAATATACAGTTAAAAAGAATATTTTCTATGAATCTATGTAAGAGCACATTTTTTTGGTGGCTAGCCAGTTAGCTATTAAGTTAACCTGTGATATATGAGACACGTTTTTAAACAACGGTGTGTCAGGGAATATGCCTTTGAAAAGTGTTGCACAATCCTCAAGTGGATATCCCTCTGGAATGACCTCACTCTTTGTGTGTGTGTGGGTGTGTGTGTGTGTGTTTGTCTCCACAGTCGTAATCTCCTGTCCAGTTTACCCCCGTCGGTGTTTCAGCTTCCTCTCCTGCGAGTGCTCATCGTCAGCAACAACAAGCTGTCTTCACTGCCCGCCTCCATATACTCCCTCACACACCTCCGACAGCTGGTACGATACACTCATACTTACACACACATGCACACACACACACACACACACATGCACACATGCACACACAAACACACGCACACACACATGCACACACGCACACACAGTATCATTCTGTTCTCTAACTTGGTGTCTCTCAGCAACAGTAGATTTCTATGGTGATTGAGGTTAAAGAGTCACATTCCACGGGTGTCATGCTTTCTGCCAAGATCTTTTTATATCCTTAAGTGTCAGTTAAAAGTTCATAGTTTTTGTTTTAAAGTCTGACTTTAAAGCATGGGGTCTCTAGATTTATCTCCTCTGTAACAGGTCAGTGCTCTTGCTTCACTGTGTTCTCCCTCTATCTTTCCGTGTCAGGACGTGAGCTGCAATGAGCTGCAGTGTTTGCCTGCAGAGCTCGGTCAGTTGGAGTGTCTGAGGGACTTAAACCTGAGGAGGAACCAGCTCACCACACTGCCTGAAGGTATGTCGGCCCCCCCCCCCCCATGCCCAAGTAAAGCCACAGTGATCAGCTCAGCTCACAGTGCTCTTCGATGAGCCCAGCAAACACTAGAAAACTCAGTTATGTGTTTGATTATTTATCTGATCTTATTGATGATGAGGATGATGGTGCAGATATTTCTGACCTCTTAACAGCCCAATCAAAGCACTGTTCTCTGTGGCCACTGTGGTGGGTTCTAACATAGAAACTCTTCAGGTCAGATGGTAATTGCATCTTTATTGTGATTTATTGATTGCTTACATGCACAAGTATTGAACTGTTGTCTGACTTAACACAGCACTAATGGATCTTATACCATTAGTGGCTCATTTTCTTAATCATTAGGGGGAAATGGAAATTAAATAGACTCCCACTGGAGTCAGATTTTCCAGCTTTGCTATATTTAAACTTCTTCCATTTTATTTCTGTGTTTGTAAGGATGGCCCAGATGAATCAACATGTCTGTACATGTGCCAGTGTCAGCCAGAAGACTCATTGAACACTCAGATGTTCTGAAACGGGTTATGTGACAGTTATGTAGTAAATGTTGGTTTCACTTTATTGGAATTGTCCACACACAGGGACTTCAACTGTGAGCACCCAGTTTTAGAACGGCTCTTACAAAGGAAGGAAGTAGATTTCTCCTTCATTTCTTTCAGAAAATCCTTCGAGCTACGAGACAAAACGTTTGATTCTGAGTAAAAAATAATAATAATTGGATAATAGAAAAAAGGCAAAGGTAGAAGATGAGACATCATTTTTTATGAGTGGAGGAATTACAAATTGCTTCTTCTTGAATTTAACCTTGATGTTAATATAGTGTTGTAATATATTGTAGTTTGTGTATGTATGTCAATCAATCAATCATTCAAATTTTATTTGTATAGCCCATATTCACAAATCACAATTTGTCTCACAGGGCTTTATGTGTATATACTGTTTCATATTGCGTATAGTGATGAGAAGTGATGTTAAGTACCTTATGGTAAGTTTTCATGTAAAAGTTAGCATTCAGATAACGGATAAATAATATATCTATTTAAATAATGTTTAAGGGGGATGGAAATATCCTCTATAATATATAATGCTGCAACAGCTCAAGTAGTAAATTCACCATAATGAATATGTCACATCATTTACTCTATCTTTACAACACCGCAGTCATTTCATACTCACTTTCTCTTTGTAAAACAATTTCATTCACTGTTTCCAGTTGCCTCTGCTTTTCTTTTTAACTTAATAAAACGTTGCAGTGTACATGCCCCTAAATGAGCATCAGCAATAAGTTTGATTCAACAAAAACAACACTGATTTTAATAAAGAACGTAACAATGCAATGAATACTTTGATTTTTTACTTTGACCCATGCAGAAATATCCGAGCTCCCTCTTGTCCGGCTCGATGTGTCCTGCAACCGCATTTCCCACGTGCCCTTGTGCTACCGCCACTTGCGGCATCTCCAGAGCATCATGCTGGACAACAACCCGCTGCAAATGCCGCCTGCGCAGATCTGCTCCAAGGGCAAATACCACATCTTCAAGTACCTCAACATGGAGGCGTGCAAGAGGAGCCAGGAGGAGCTGGAGAGACACATGAGACCCACTGGATTCAACAGCTGGTGAGGAGCAGGAGGGAGATTCTTACTGGTCCTAGGGCCACATATCACAAATTACATCTTTAACGTAATACAATAAGAATAAGGAGACTAAATAAGCCAGAAATTCTTCTTCTTCTTCTTCTGATATTGGAAGCTACTACAGTTACAATCTGCATGTGAGAATACGCTCTTATACCTAAGCAGGAAGAAATTGAAAGTGAGGTAAAGTAAATGCAGAATGGTTGATGAATGATGTCAGTGTTAACTAAGAGGAAACAGAGTTTATCAGTCTTGGCTTGAATGGAGCAGCCCGGTGAGCTGTTTTCATGAAACACAAACCCAAGGACAGAGATAAGAGTATTTGACTGAGCATTTGAAAAACATGAGTCATTGCCTTTTAGAATAGTGACCCCCACTCAACCCTGGGTAATGGTAGCTGCTCTGTATTTACTTGTGTGTTTAGTGACGTTATCCTAATGTGCATTTCCCTGCAGCCTGTCAGACCAGGAGCTGTTCACTGGTCAGTTTAGTGGACTGGACTCCGGCTTCAACAGTGTGGACAGCGGCAGCAAGAGATGGTCTGGGAATGAGGTGAAACTGCAGGACACACACGTCGAGTGACCTAACACATGATATGTTTCTGTCTGTGTGTGTTACTTAGCAAGATGACACAAAAACGTGTTTCATCAGGGAGCGGATCCAGGAATATTTTTCATTTTCTTTAAAATGGCCAGAGTTTTCAACACATTTGTTGATTTCTCAAAGGATAATTCATGGATCCTAATGGAAAAAAACAGGCACGTTAAAGGACTGATATTCATGAGTGTATGCAGTTTGATGTAGATCCAAATAAAAACCTAGTGAATGATCTCACTTACCCAGCACAGTCAATGTAATATAATTTTACTCTTAGTAAAACTTAGTAAATGATTGATGTCATTATTTCATCAAATGATGGCAATATAAAAAGAGCAAAGCACTTTAATGCCCCAATTCCATTCTGCTGTGATTGAAAGTGCAGTTAAATTATGCTCATTCTGCAAAATATTGAATCTAAATACTGTCCAAATGTAACTATCTAAAACTGCACACCAACACAGTAAGGATTGTACACAAAATGCTGTATATTTCGCAATATCAGAGGACAGCATTGGAAAGATTGTTCGCACTGTAAGGTGCTGACTCGACACACCAGATGGTTTGTTTCACAGAAACATTCGGGAAGTGTTTGGAAAAGGGCGGACGCTTGCAAAAGATACTTGATTGGATGAACCATCTGTCTAATCACAGTCAATCACTGTTGGTGAAGTCAGTTTTTTCCTTTAAGAAGAAATCTCTATAAATCAGCTTACCATAGTAACATACTAAGATTGGCCGACATCAGTGTTTCTGATCCCAATCATGTCCTGAACAGTGAATATAGATTGTAACCTTCAGACAGGAGAAACAGGGTTTCTATTAAATGTGTGTATTTTTGCTTCCTGTCTTCATTTTTTCGTTAGCTGTGATGTTGTAAATAGAGCTGCCATATGATGCAAAAACAAATTTCAAACGTGTTCTGACAATAAAAAGTATGTGTGTGTGTCTAGTCAGCAGATGACTTCTCAGAGCGTTCCCTCCGCATGGCTGAGGTCAGCAGAGACCAGAGGAACCTGGAGGAGGAGGAAGAGGAAGAGGAGGATGGACCTCCTTTGGAAGCGAACAAAGGTAAGAGACCTGATATCAGTTTGGAGGATATTGTAGTTTCTCGATCTGTAGTATCTGTTTGCACATTATGAGAAAAGACACACTCTTGCATCTCTTTGCAGTGAATGGCGTGGCGGAGCAGGTGGACTTCATTGACAGCAGTGTAACGGAGGAAGAGGAGGAGGAGATCAGGATGGATCCACGCACACCTCCTCTGGTACCTGTCTCTCATCACATACCGTCTTTTGATCAGTAATTGTGACAAATCTGCTGTGTTATCTCAGAACAGGGAACTTATTGATTGTATCATTGATTTTTCAGGATCAGAAGGAGGGAACTTCACCGTCCCAAACCCAAGACTCAACAACATGCAGGTAAATCACGTAGAGCGTACTGTACTGCGAGAGAGACACTATGATTCTTGATCTCGACTTGGTCCAGGCGTCCGCGGTTTCGGTTCGCGTTACGTGGCGATGGAACCATGACACGTCCCCCTGCCCAATCCCTCACGCTTCTACAGCAGCAGGTGAAGCCTGTTGTGTGTATCAGGATGTGTGTCCAATCTCACTCCAATCCAATCGCAACCCCTTGGACCACGACCCTGCGTAATCTGAACCAACACACAGAAGTGACCAGTAGCTTCAGAGCTTGTGGAGGTTGTAGGGAATCGTCTGTTTTACCTTTGCAAAAGTGCATCGTAAAGTCTGCGTGTTGTTGCTGCCAGTCGTCTGGTCTCTGAAGGAAATCAGGTGTCAGAATCAGGCGGATTGTTTATTCCTAATGGAACTGACTGACCAACTTAACCATCGACGGTACTGTGAGTGCCCTGTATATATTGTATATAAACTCTGTTATTATTGAAGTGACACGGACGTTTCTCTTTCTGTTTACTTTCCTGTTGTTGGTTTAAAAACACAGAACAGATTATTTTTGTTGCTTCCGTTTTTTCCTGGTTTGAACTGGATTGAGTTGAAGTGTGTTGGGCTTGTGGGGGAGACTGACTTTGTAAATATTCAGATTGAACTCTGGAACCTCCAGGAATGGAATGAATGTCAGCTGGATTTCAAAGAAACTTCTGAAATGAAACAGCCTGGTTGTGTCACTGTTATGCACTCTGTCTTCAAATTCAGGGATGCAACCCTGGATTGGGGCACACTTCTAGTGTGTACAGTAGCTCTAAAACATAAAACCATATTATTAGCACAGCAAAACAGGACTATTGTGGAGTCCTGTTTTGTGGCTGCTTCCTCCAGAATGAAGGGGTGAAGATGTTTCTGGAGTCGGCAAATGGTGGAATGGTGATTGAAAACTATCAGCAATCTGCTTTGAGGATGAGGAGGGAGGACAAGAAGCTACAAGGTACTTAGGAAACCTCCTAAAGGAAAAGTTTTTTAGATTACACTTCCCAGTTCTATGTGCAAATAAACACAGCCATCATTTGTTTTCTTGAAGACCAAATATTGTTTCAACCTAGTCTGAGTTAACAGATGACAATGTTTGTGTGTATGTTTAGTAATTTAAGAAAATGTATCATTCATTATGTGTTGATCAGTGTTGATATTGTGACAGTCGCTACAAACGAATTGACGTGTGGACACTGAGGAGCGTAAATATATGTAGCAAGAAAGAGACATCGTCTGAGTAGGCGGTCCTTCCTTTGGCCCAGGACGCATTTGCATACACAAAGAAGAATGTGGACACATGCGTCCAAGACCACTTCCAAATGTGGTTTTTGTGATCTGATCTCAGGACATGTTCAGGACACATATGGGTGTGTTCAGACCTGTACTTAGCGCTGACCACTTGAGATTCAATCGCTCAGGATGGATGTTAATACCAGGTCTGGATTGGGTCTGAACAGCGTCTACCAGAGGACTCCTGCTGAGGTGTTTCAGTATATTTACATGTCAGCCTCATTTCTTCTCAGCCTGTTTCTGTGACAGTCTTCCATTTTAATTCAGCAGTTTGTCTTTTCCCTGGTTGGAAAACTGTATTTAGTCCCTCGCAGTGACAATGACAGACAAGGTTTTATCACTCTTTTCTCCGTTTCCTTCTTTGTTTTACAAGGTCACTTCACTGGATATTTAAAGAGCTGGGAAAAGTCAATACTCTGCCGTTCCCAGTGCGATTTCCCCTCACTGCCCCTCAAACTGTGCAGGCTCTGTGCATGTGGTTGCTGTTATCTTGGAAAGTTCCCAGTACTGACACACTGGCTCCCCCACGCTCCGCTCGTAATATAAACTGTGTATGAAGGTGTCTTCCATCTGAACTCCCACAGAATCCTTGTTCTTCTTTGACCTGTAGTGTGTTCAGCTACATGTCTTTGTGCTGAAGCCCAGAGGGCAGCTTTTATCGTGCTGCTCTGCTGTCCCATAACCAAGATAACCACATTCTTGAGACTGAGGTTCCCATGAGTCCTATTGGCTACATTTTAATATGTGACCCAGTGCCATTGTTCGCAGCCTCTGGAGCAACAAAAAGCACACGCGCCATTGTTCTGAATCTTTGAGTTTCACTAACTGTACTCTGGATAAATTCATGACTGAGAGCATGAAACTTGTCCACCAGTCTGTTCCTTCTGACTGAGGAGAATCTGTTCCATAAACACAGCATTTCACATCATGAACAAACGGATGTTCCAAATCTCAGCTTCAAACACTTCCTGTGGGACCTCTAAAAATAGAATAGAGACCTGAAATGGAAAGTCAGCAGAGTTTGTAAAACATAAAGCAGATATCCCCAAATTGTTCTTTTTTGATTTTGCACATGATGATAAAGTTTAAAGTCTTAAATCCATTCTCATTTTAATTTGTAAAAGTGTTTGGAGCTGTGTACCATAGTCATAATAAATATATAACACTAGAAGACTGTGATGGAGCAGCCGGCCTGAGCCAAAGCCACCCAAGGAAGTGCAGTGTCAAATTTGATGCGATTTGGACATTTGTGATTGATTCAGTAATCATAAAGGTCGAACAAACAGTTGACCAGCGCTCTGGTGCAGCTTCAATGAACTTAAAATGAACAGGTGAACATCTCTTTGTGAAGCAGCGGTGGCTTCAGGGGTCTGTGGACTGAATCCAGCTGCAGGTCTTTACTTTCTGTGGCTCATTTGTTGCAGGTCACACTCAACATAATGAATCATCAGAAATAATAGATCTGGTTGTTCTGGATTTAAATCCTTTCAGCTTGGAGCCAAGATCTGGAACATCTCCCTATATGATTTGAGACATGAGGGCTATCACTTAAAAAACCCTAAGCCTCGGATTTACGGAGAACCAGAAGACAATTAGTTCAAATTCAATTGAATTCAGCCCTGGAGCCTGATCCTGAACCATGATATAGACTTGATGTTCCGTTCATTTGCGGAGCCTGGAAGCTGATGATTAAGTGAGGCAGTTACTTGTTATGAGGTCATTACAGCTGGGATTTTACTTTGGTCAGATTTTGAACAAAAAGACAATGCTGATAATTTCTCTCTAAGAGAAAGTGGAGTTAACTGAGCTTTCTAAATTCTAGGACAATTATATGTGGGTGTATTTTGTTGTTTTTTTTACAAATACTTTAGTAAAATTCCAATAAGAACATTTCATTTGTTTATTTGCCACATTGATGTTCTCTCTTTCTCTTTTGCTCTCTCTTTCTCTGTCTCCTCTGCAGGTCCAGCCTCCACATTGAGGTGGTCCCCCCTTCGTCGCCCTCTTCACCTCCCATATCCCCCTCCAGCCCCACCCTGGAGGAGCGGAGGAGGCCGGGAACCCTGCTCATCTGGCAGGAGAGAGAGCGGCTGCAGCAGCAGCAGCAGCAGCAGAGAGAGAAAGCCAGGTTAACCCTCACACTCACTGATTCTCATTGATAAATACCAATATTTTAACATGATGTCTTCAACTGTAAGACTAATGTTGAATGTGATGTCAGGATTGAAAGCTTCAGTTTGCTGCGGGTAAAGAAGGAGGCATTTGATGGCATCTTAGAAAGGGCTTAAAACGTATCAATGGATTGGACACAGATGTCACATGACATGAGCAACATGAATGTGACTCTGCATTTAGCAGATCCGAGCTTTAGGAAGTCTTTATGTGTGCAGCAGTTTGTGCCCCTCTCATAAGGAGCAGCTCTCTGTCAGAGGCCACTCCCTTCCGCCTTTCATATCTAATTATATGCTCTCCATGTCCGAAACTCTAATTTTGCAGTTTGCTGAAGTCATCGACCAAAACAGGAAGTCACGTGGCCACGGCACCGCAGACAGGAAGTAGCTCAGCGTAAGTAAGGCCTGTAGAACGCATTAAACACACATCTGTGCGACAGGGAAGACACTGAGTGACGGTCTCAGTTATGCACGTATCATCAATTTGAACATTTTCCTCAGTGTGTGCTGGGTTCACATGAGGGGGTTTATTTGGAGAATAAACTGTGTATGTGTGTATGTCTCCCCCTAGTGGTACATCTCCAGAGAACAACAGCTCCCTCTCCGGCCTGCGGCAGAGATGTGCAGTGAGTGGCATCCTTCATGTCTTGTGAATACAGCTGACTCCTCTGTTGTAAATATGACTTTTCTGTTTTTAATCAGAGCGCTGAACAGATGAGCACAGTGCCTCCATCAGTACTTCTACATCGCTCCAGCAGTAGACCAGGTACAACACACACACACACACACACACACACACACTCAAACAACTTTCATGAAGAAATCATCAGTGGTAAAATACTAAACTAGTAAACTCAGTGTTTCAGGGTGACAGTAAAATAGGGAGAACTAATGTATGTTACTGTCATGAACATCTCTCACACCCCATTTTTTCTTTTTTTTTTTATCTCAACATAATGACTCACACAAAGGAGGATAGTTCAAATATAGATCATCAGCTTCCTGATCGGCTGTTGGTTAGATAGTGTCAGTATGTGGGAATCTTTGAACCAGGGGTATTCTTCTTTTTTTCAAATAGGACCATAACAGGAAAAGTAATTAATCTTCACTCGGTAAATATTGTGCCCAAATTGACTAAGGCAAATGGAACATATGGAAAACTCACAGATCCTGAGGTTGGCAAGAAATGTTCGGTCAGATTTTTGCTCTTAAGTTAGATTCCAACACCCTTTACGTGGACCTTGGCTTTAGATTTGATTATTTTTTGCTAGGAGAATCTAAAATGCAGAGGTACTGTGTACACTCCAGCCTTGATTTTCGGAGCTTAGAGACAGTGCCATACTTTAACTCGCTCAGCAGCTTCAAACTGAATCTGACAGTCATTTACCCAAACCTCTCCTCTGCTGTTGTGAAGTATAAAAACCCTGGTATGCAGATATGTGATTTGTGAGTGTATCTGGCCTCACACACTGGTAACCTTGGCCTGAATGTTTGTGTCAGATGTCCTGCCCTCCCCGAAGACGTCTCCTCCACTTGGTCAGAAGCAGAAACCCAACAGCTTCCTGTTCCGCGCCGCCTCCCGCAGCAATGTCAAACCCACAGGTACAAATGCTTGGATTGAATTTCCCTTTATTAGTCAGTTAAAGAAATGTATGATGTTGACCAGTTTTCATCCATCACTATTTCTGATTAACAAATGACCTCTGTTATACACACACACACACACACCTCCACCTGCTGCGTCAGATATGTGGCTTTAGCACTGTTTACTCTCTGGTCGTCAGGCTCCATCTTTACTCTGGGCGAGTCTGGCAGAAGTGAGTCTCGCACGACGCTGCGTTCCCCTAAAGAGGAGAGACAAGTCATCACACATCTACGCAAGGTAACACACTACATACCACACAGTTTGATATTGATCAGAAAACGATTCCCCATCATACGATAAGTGACGTCATGAAGGAATTAGAAAATGATGTCATGCGTAGTTCTCAAATGCATTTCGCCAAGTGCATCCTACAATTCTTCATCATTGCATTATGAAGTCAGCAATTAACATTATATAGAATAATAATGCTGCCCTCTGACAATGGTTCGCTCAGGTCAGGTCTTAAAAAACCGATGAGATTCTACTAGAATCCATAAATGTGTTTATTGACTGATGCAATCAACCTCCCACCCAGTAGTTCTGCAGCAGTATCATAGTTATATATCCTCTATCAGCTCACATTTTATTGAGGATACAAGACGCTTGCACCTGATTTTAAATAACTACGTTGGGAATGGACTGTCTCTGGCCTATGGTAATCCTGCTTGCAGTTTTCTTTCTGAATTTGCTTAATTACTGCTTGTGTGTAATTTTTACATTTCTATGATTGTGATGATTATTGAATGATTCATTTAACGCATGTCGGCTATTTCAGAGGTTTGTTAAAGTAACCGACACAACCGTCAGCCTCAACGTCGCAACCTTTCAAAATAAAAGCTCTGTAATTCAGCTCAGCATACAGTATTGCAGCAACAAAAAGAGGAGAGGTAGAGAAATGTGTACCACAGACAGAGATTTCTGCTTGTAAATACTTTGTGTCCTGTGCTTTAATTTTTAAAATTACATGCTGTCGCTCTGCATCTCTGTCCTCAGACTGTGGAGTCTCGGCTGAATATCACTTTGCCGGAGGATCTGAGTGAGGCCTTATCCAACGGCACCATCCTCTGCCAGCTGGTTAACCAGATTCGACCACGCTCCGTATCAATCATCCACATTCCCTCCCCAGCAGTGGTGAGTGCGAGGACCTGATCAATCCTGTCCTCTCTGCCTGGAAATGACCGGGCCGTTTCCTCTCGTGAAAATGACAACGACACCAAACAGCATTGATGATGTTACGTCTGGTATTTAAAACCACTGAAGTATTAAACGGAGATTATATATCCAAAGTCTCCGAAGAGTGTAATGGCACGAGATGTTTGAGCAGCTTTGTTGATACTAGCTTCTGGAGTTTATGTTTACCACCCAATCCACACAACATAAATACCAACTGGCAAATTGTATTCTGTCTCAAGCTCCACTTGTTGTGAGCAGTAGCTGATGGTGGCATATATGATATAATGTATATAATAACAGCTGTACTCAGACCTGACCCGTTAACAAGTGCACAGTGTTTAGTACATCTGTTCACACCTGGTATAAAATGCTCCCTGAATGTGTCTCCTGTAACCACTGGATCTCACTTCCCTGCTCAAATAATCACGTTCGTCATGTATTTCAAATTTCAGGCCAAATTATATTATTTTTACTAAGTCTGAGTATACAGATTTGTTCGATGCCAGTGTGTGTGTGTTGACACAAGTAAGCAAGAGGCAGAGAGAGAGAGAGATGAGTCAGGAGGGCCTAATAAATTATGTTTGATTAATCTCCTGCAGCTGTTCTGTCAAGAAAGATTTGACCAATTTAAGAAAAGCATCAGTCATTATCGATAAATCAATGTGTGGTTGCTGAGAAGTGTAGAAATATGTTTGATTCGTTGTGAAACTGGAGCAGGCCAGAGGACGTCAGCCGAGTACTCGTTTCCTTCATATATGGCCATGTGTCTCAGCCCACCTACAGATGTTGTGTTCACAGATCTCAGGACACATTCAGGACATTTGGATGCATTCAGAGCTGAACGTAAACCTGTCCACCTATGGTTTGCATCAAGCTCATTTTAACAGGTGCAGAAGAGAAAACAGGGAGGTGTCCCATTGAAATATTAAAAAAGAGAAATAATGACTTAAAGGGCCTGATACTCTTTGCAGATGTGGTTTGAAAATTGACACCATCCTGATCCCGACTAAAATGTTCTTTCAAAGCAAATGAATCATTTTAACTTTAAAGTGATATTACGTTAACAGGATGGTGCTTTTTCATTTGCAGCCAAAACTGAGTTCAGCAAAGTGTCGAGTCAACGTGGAAAACTTCATCGCTGCTTGTCGCAAGCTGGGAGTCCCTGAGGTAGACCCGATTATTCATTCATTCTCCCTCTCTCACCCTTTTAGCACAACTCATTGCCTTCTCAGATGTTGTAATGCAAAGTTTAAAAAGGTAGTCAATGAGGATTTTCCACTTGCTATAAGCTCAGTTGTTTTGCTACATTGTCCTGTCAGGGTTGGACTGACAACAGTTCAGGTTTCAGCCCAACCCTCACTCTGCTTTGTGTAATTCTACACTGTTTTGTCCCTCTCTTGTCTCCTTAGTTTTAACTACATGTATTTTCCTCCTCTGTGTGTGTGTGTGTGTGTGTGTGTGTCTGTGTGTGTGTCCTGTCCAGACCGATGTGTGTACGTGCTCTGATGTGCTTCTATGTAAGCTGCCCGCTGTACTGCGCTGTGTGGCAGCCCTGCCGGCCGCAGAGGGGGGTGGAATGGCGGAGGACCACTCCCCTTGCCACTCCTCGCCTTCGTCTTCATCGTCCTCGTCCTCACTGCTGTCCACAGATTTCCTGCTCTTCTACTGTGCGGCCATGGCCGTGCTCTACGTCGCCTACTGCTACCTGCTCACCTAGAGGAGACACACGCGACACAGAGTACTCACATAGTCACAGCTCTACACACATGGTGAACACACACACACAGGCATGGAAACAGAAATGTGTGGGGCGGTCACAGTTGTAGTGTGTGAGGCCGACACACAGCTGCTCTCACAGCTGTCATCTCAGACAATACGCCACACTGTGTGTGTGTGGATGTTAGAGCGTGTGTGTGTGTTTTCAGTACACATACTCTGACTGTAGAGCAGATGTCTTAAGTCCTGAGAGTGTGTGTTGGGATGTTGGAGCCATATAGAGCATGCTGCAGAGCACCTTTTAATAGAATACACTGCACACAGCTGTTCATTTCAACCTTTAAAGGAATAGAAAGCACTAATGTGAGGGACAGATACTGCGTGAGAGTAGATGAACAGTGAAATGCCTTAGCCTAGATTAGCCTTCACTCAGTAACACTGTAACTCTTGAGGTAGAGGTGCTCAGAGGCAAAATGGATCTCAGTGGTCGGGACTCGAACAGGAAGAGGAAAGGAAGCACACACTCAGTCGAACCCCTTTTTACGCAGAACACCTTTAATGCATTTAACCAACGCCCCCTTGTAGACTACTTAAAACGTTGCAAGTTAATATCGTGTCACAAATAGATCGATGTATGTGAAGCAGAGAAATGTAAAATGACTTTGGTTCACTCTGAAACTGTTTCTCCGATCAGCTGAGTAGACGGCCTTTCGTTGTTGCGCGGGACACGTTCACACAGCTAAAAGACCCAGACCACATCCCAACGTGGTCTCAGACGTGTTCTCAGTGCGTCCTGCGTGCGTTCACACTTCAACTTAAAGCCGTCCACTTGTGATCGGATCACCTGAGATGTAGATAGCGGGTCTGAAGCTCTCTGTTTGTTCAGAATGGGACGATGATCGTATTTCATACACTGACCCACGCAACCACGTGCCAACACATGCAGGATCCACGCTGCAGCCATCAAGCACATACGCATAGTTAACTTTAAAGCTGCATTCATTATTATAACTTGCAGACAACGCAGCAAGTTGCATTAAACACAACCTGTGACCCATCACCTTCTAAATCTGAACTTACGCATTCATATGGAGTCACATTTGAGTCCACCTGATGAATCTAAGTGTAACATCTGCTGTTAACATCTGCCTGACTGAACCACTAGAGCCAAGTTGTTTGCAATGAGCTCAACGATGCTTTAAATTCTCGCTGTTGGTCACTTTTCACATTCCGCGCGATCATTTCATCCTTTGCTAACGTACAAAATATTGAGAGCTGCAGCTTTGAGGCTCAACACGGTTGTCGCGTTTTGTAAAAGGTGTTTCTATGCAAACTGCGGTTGCGTTCAAACTTGGTTTTGACTTCCAATGCCTGTTCTATCAGATAAAATAAAATCCTGCTTACAAAAGGAATTGCTGAGTTCTGGGCTTGTGGCAGCATCGTTAACCAAACGTGTAGAACAGAATTAGTAAAAAGTGACACATCTCAGGGGGACGGAACTGACAACATATTCCAGAAAAGTGTGGATGTGTGGCTGGATAGATTCTTTTCTTCCCCCACTTCACATCGCACATCACAAGACTGTTGTTCACCAAACTGAGATCCCTTCTGCCCTGAGTTCACAGTTACAGCTTAAACTCCAGTCCGCATGTTTGTAGGCGTTCTGCTCGTCCTGACAGAGCAGCTGTTCAAGTAACCTGTCGAAGGCTGAATAGTGAATGTGATTTTTTTTTAATTTTGTTTTTAGCATTGAGGCAGGTTAGTTCAAATGGACGGTGGCTGTTTAGTTATGTTATATCTCACACTCCAATGTGACAGTGAGACAAATGATACAGTGCCTCTTACTGAATGAACACTGACCGCTTGCAGACTCGTGTCTGCTATGTTAACTGTGAGCAGCAGGGGGCAATGTCGCTTCATCAACCCTCCCCAAAGCTTCATGCCAGAAGGTACGAACCCCTCCAGGATGTTGAGTGTTGTTAAGTTTTTTTTGTGGTGGTCACTGGTCCGTTTGACCAGCTGATTTCATATTTGTATAAATGTAAACAGGTTATTAAATTATTGCTTTTTTTATTTATTTTTTTTCTTTGACTTTTTCTATCGGTTACAATTGTCTCTGGAGAATAAGCGAAGGCGTCACTAATTGGGTAAAGCTTTGTTGAAATAAGTGTGTGCTATAAATCACACACACAAAGGTAAATTAGAAGTAATCAATATTCAATTATTCAGAGTTAAGATAATATTGATTGTCTTTAAAGTTTTGCCCTTCGTCGGATTGCTAAATAATGGATTCCCTAAAGGTTCAGACACGTTTCACAGAGCGTTAAATAACCTGTGTAAATTCGGCCACATGCCTTGTTGCTCATAGCAGGTCAATGTCAACAACTCCACACAGATTGTAATCTCATGTAATTCTCATTTGACCGATGTGGGCTTCAGAAATTAATGATATAAATATGCGCGAGATTATTAAGGTCATTGTAAAAACTGAAGTAGGGTGACCAGCATAAATTATTCACAGGGAAATATTCAATAAAATGTTATTGGGAATATTGAATCAATAAATAGTCTAAATAATATATTTAATTTTCTTCTGTAGCTGTATGTGTGTGTGAGAGAGCAACATCATAATATCAGCACACCGTACTCCCTGTTCTCTTTTAAGACTGATTGGTTTAAAATATGGAGCCCCAAAATGTGAAATATTTATTCATAATATTTAAGTGAATGATTATTTGAATTAATGATTTTGATAATCTGACGAATTTAGAAGTTATTCAGTCTAAACTCATAGGAATTAATGTGATAATTTTAGTTTTCATAATGACTGAATTGGCCTGATGTGTCTTATCTTTTTGGAGGACGTCCGTGTCCTGGGAGTCAAATCCTCACCTTTTCTCAAACCCCTGAATCCTCCATACATTACTGAAGTCGCTTCCTGACGTTCTTTGAATTTCTGAAGTTGACGCTCGCCGAGCATTTATTGTCGGGGCACGTCAGGGACAAGAGACAACTTGCACATGGGAGTTGTCTCTTGTCTGTATTCCAAGTCGATCATTTACCTTGAAGTTGATCTCCTGGGGGTCGACCATGCACTTGTACCATCTCTTACCCCCTGGTTTGACCCATCCATCAATGTTATCAGAAGGAGCAGGACTGGACGTCTTTTCATTCCCCCTAAAGCAAGCTTAAAAAATGATCCCACATTATCCAGTTAGCTCTCTCTTTTTTTTTAGCTCCAGCAGCAATGTCATTCTGATATAACAAACTGGCTGCTGGGTAAATAATCACAGTACACAAACAGTAAATTACCTATTTTATTTAGATCACTCACACGTTAGCGAGGCAGTCTTGTTACATAGGAAAATAGAAGTCAGGACTTGTTACCTTCTGTTTTGCTCTTTCATTATTGTGTTTCCTAATCCAAATGCAGCAGAGTTAAATCTGGAGGAATACACCAAGCTTGCAACCCAATGGAACTGGTCGGATGGTCAAAGTCAAAATGGAGACGATTTAACTGACTAACTTTACTATAATTCACTATTGACATCGATAACAGGAGCTAACTGGTTAATGTTTGTAGCAGTTGTTCAGCTTGCATACGTAAAGGCCCAATGAAATAAGACAACCTTTTTAATTCTGTGATATAAGCTAATTGTTCATTTAACTCTTGCCAAACATAGCGGGGGAAACAATAGCATTGCATTTTACATCAAATTCTGCCAGTTATGTGAGTGGTGTTAAAGATTTTTTTGCAAGAAATAGAAAAAAAAGTCTTTTGAAAACTTCAGTAGTTGTATAGAAATGTCATGTTGATGGGTTGAATTGAATAATTTCTCAAATCATTTAACCAATTGGTTCCTTTATATATATATATATTTCAATTTATTTGTTTATTTATATAATATTGAACATGCTGGGGCCCCAGATTCACAAAAGACTTTCTGTTGAAAGTTAAATCTACTTTTCTTACTTATTTAATATGGTTTACAGCACTGCTTTTGTCCACCGTCCATTTCATGTTCACATCTCTGCTGTCTCAAGGTCAGAATGTCCACTGTAAGAACTCCCCTTCCCATGTCTGAGGTTTTTTTATTATTCTGCTGTTAAGACGAATTTATACTGTTTCAATTCAAATGTATATTTTATAAATGAAACTGACTAAGCAGCACACAGTAATTCATTCACTGGCTTAGACCAAGCTATATTCTTAAATATGTTAGGGGAACAGAAATACTGTTGTGCTTTATATTTATATGATACTCTTGTATAATTGAGAAACTTTTTTGAGTTTATATAAATCTATATGTAAAGGTTTGTTTCTTTTCGTTCTTCCCGCTGTAAAGAAATTATTAAAACTGAAACTTTGACCATGTGCTGTTTCTCTGCTTGCTTTGCTGTCTTGCTTTTGCATAATCAGCCAGAAACTGTATATGTGATCAGGGTATCTGCAGCTGCCTGAACATCCTATTTAAACAACAACAACAAAATCTGGATGTGAGAGATCAAATGTGGCAGTATTCGATGTTTTTGTTCTTGTCGTCAAATCCCATGAGCCAAGCCAATAAGGAAAGTAACACACTGACAAGTATTCTCTGTCCACCAGAGCACCAAATGTAGATTCATCCAACTCTTAATATAGTCTCATGCTTTTGGAAATTACTTATATGTCGTTCTTTCAAACAATAATGTCACGTGTGCCTGAAATTGTCACGCGTGACATCTTTGTTGCTTCGTTCTGGATCCAACAAATGTTTTATTGCACCCTAAAAGTGTGCATCGAGCCGTAATTGACTTTCAAGTGAGCACAAAGAAAAGAAAGCTCTAATGTTTGAAATGCAGCTGAAAAGCACAAAGGTAGCAGAAAAAGGTGGAATAAGACTTTCGGTTATTGCTGAAGCACAAAGAGCAGATCAGCTCTTCATCAAGGACTTCAATCAAAGCTCTGAGTCCTTGGGAAGCAGAAACCTCACGTCTGTTTCAAACTCGGAGAACCTGCGTTGAGGTGTGTGTGTTTTCCCCTTCCCCTCCTCTGCATTGTGGTTTTACAAGACCTCGCTGCTGGCTTGTCAAATATATGACGGGTTGGCTTCCCCACCGTCCTAAATGGGAATTTGTTGACAAAAAAAAAAAATGTGTTTAGCGCCACATTTACTTTTCTGCCAATCAATAATTAGCGGATTTGGTCCTGAATGTGGTAATGCAGATATCCTGATGTGACTCCTCTGTCCCCTGTGCTTTAATCTAGTCCAAAGCTCCTCTGTGCTCTGCAGACAGGAGGTTTGCCATCATAAATTCCAGCTGGCCCGTGTCGGAGCAGGTGAGTGTGTTGAGTCAAGGTCAGAGAAAAGGCGGCATCAGCCCGTATAGGTTTGCACGGCACCACTCACCAGAAGGTGACTCAATGAACTGCAGCGTCGCCTTTTTTTTGATCTCCCCTCTCTACATCACTTCAACCTCCAGTCTGCCCGCTGCCCACACCCCCCCTGTATAACCCTCCACGTCTGGATTATCATGCATATTATCAGAATTTAAGGCTAATCAGTAATCACTACAGAGTCAGGAGCACTGATTACGAAGATTGAACATTTGAATTCTTCGAGACGTAACTGGGAAATGTCAGTTTTCACGGGTGGGTGAGTTCCCTCATATTGCAGGGTTCGCTGAGGACAATCCAGGGGCCCCCGTCCGACTCACTGTGAAATAAAGAGGTTTTTAAAAGGTGCGAGAAGTACAACCCATGCATCCAGATTTATTTCAAAAGCCGAGATCTGATGCAACAGCTACCAGGATAGGATGACATGCAGTAAATGATTTTTGCCATTCGCTGTCAAAACAGTTGCCCAGCAAAGAAAAGCTTAACAACAACAACTACCTCTTTCAGAGAGATTTGAAAAAACAAAACACTAACTTTCAATTCTCAAGGTCACTTTCTTCACCTGAGAAACATTTAGTTCTGCACTATGAGGATGCACAGTCTAAGTCATATGGCATCACAGTAGGCAACCAGATTAAGCTATTGGGGGCCAGGACATTACTTTGCCCTATATATCTATATATATAGATATATAGTGTGTGTGTGTGTGTGTATTTTTTAGTATCAGAATTTTAAACGTAGCAAATCAAACTGCCACATCACCATATTGTATTAGGTCAAACCAACTCATCTGTTAAAGAGCCAGGACATGACCACATACCGTTAGATCGCCTTATCCGTCTGAACACCATGCTGACCACTCCTGACTTTCATCTGGCGCCACCATCAGGCAAAACTTCAGTGTGTCCAGTGCTTTTTTTTTCTTTCTGAACGGAAGTTATGATATTCCCATCAGCCTTGTAGGAAACTAAGATGTTTCACTCACTGTAAGTGGTTGAAACAGGCTTTTAGTGATACCACATATAGGAAACCATTTACTTTCTTTAAACATAACTATATTCACCCCAGTGGACATATGACATAGGTAGATAATACCAGAACACAATGCAGTG